CTTCAGAGATATGCTCGCTGCTAAATTAAAAGCTAGCATGATCACTCAGGGATATCCATACTCTCTTTGCATTGATGTAGTTCTCTCTTCCAGGGCAGTATAATGTATGGTAAGAACACTAGGCATAGACTTGGAAGACCTAGTTTTAAAATGTACCTTTGCTACTGACTACTTAGGCCTTTATTTCCTCATCTATGAAATGAAGGATTTAGGCTAACCAATCTCCAAAGTTTCTTCTGGTTCTAGACCCAAGGACTCACCACATCTCTCTTTAGCCCCCTCTAGAATTCTCCTTTCTCTGCTTTTCACAGCCTAAATTCCTGTCCCTAGGTACATTCTAAACGGACACCTTCCTTGAAGGGTCAGACCTATCTCTTTTTACACATTTAACATCTGGCATTATCTAATATAGAATGAACTCATCCATTTAAGCAAATATGATAAAATGTCTACAATATGAAGGTTCTTCAATTGTCTCATCTTGTTTAAGTGCTTAGCCAAGCTTTGTCTATTTGCTTGGTTTTTTCTGGGTTTCCTCCATGACAGTGATATACATCAACAACCTTTTTCTCTGCCTTCTCTCATATCTCAGGGTCAACCTCAGGAAGAACTCTCAGCTACATTTTCCTTAATTCATCTAATTTCTTCTATCCTAGGAAACTGGGAAAAATCTCAAATGCTAATGTGGGCTTGACCCTGCACACACTTCCATCTCATAATTCTAGGCATTTTCACTCACTGTTCTCCTACCTAGAGTACTCTCCCTCTTCATTTCCACCCCTTAGCTTCCTTCAAGTCCAAGCCAAAACCCCACCTTTTACAGGAAGCTTTTCTTGATCTCCCTTAATTTTAGCGTGTTTTAGTGTGTTTCTCTCTATTGATTATTTCCAATTTATCCTGTGTATAGCATATTTGTATATAGCTCTTTGCATGTTATCTCTTCCATTAGACTGTGGGCTGCTTGAGAGGAGACAGCCTTCTGCCTTTCTGTGCATCCTCAGACCTTAGCCCAGTGCCTGGCACATAATAGGCACTATAAACGTGGACTGACTGAGTGACCCTGGCAGGAGAGCAGAGAATTGTGATTATGTCTTCATAATTACATACACATAATACATATAATTCATACGGTGGGAGAGAAGAGATACTCCTCACTGCCATTTCTTCTCTAGGACTCTGAACAATTCTCTTAACTTCTCTTCACCTCAGTTTTCTCATCTGTAAATTAGGGGCACTTAGAGCACTTACTTAAAAGGGTAGATGTAAAAAAGAAGTGAGATCATATATAAAAATCACTCTGGAAACCTCAAAACATGATCTAAATGTCTGTTATTACTATTGGCATTCTCCCACTTTACGGCCTTAATGGGGCCAAGAAAGTCATGATAGATGCAGAAGGGAGAAAAACAAACTTAATTTTTATCTAGGTTGGTTTTTTTCTCTGTCTGATCTTGGAATAGTATTGAAAGCCATCTCCCTGTTGTCCCCCAAATTTTAATGCCCCTCCACTTTCCAACAGAGACAATCTCATTATGTGGCCAGATTTACTAAGCTGTAATGGAGATGACTCCTATCTTGTGAATTTGGTCCAACAACAAAATTAGATACCTGTCCCTCCACCCCAAAATTCTCACATTATTTACCCTGAATTACTGATGTACTAGACCCTATGTAGATTGAGCAAGCCTCTTACTGTCTCCATGCTTTAATTTTCTTAATTATAAAACGAAAAGGCCACCAGTTTTCCCTAATCACAATGACATTGAGAACTAACTCTTCAAAGCTGCTCCCAGAGGCCTCCAAAAGTAGGAATATCATTTAATTGGGCCCAACATTTTATCTGCACCATTTCCTTGCTTGGCAAGTTATGTGGAAAGGAATGGATATGATAAACATAATGAAATATAAAATGGATGGAAATACTTAGGTAGACATGTCCCAAGCCTTCACTTCAATTGAACAACCAGCTCTCACAAGGAATTTAATTCAATAAAAATCTTAAAAATCAGTTGCAAATGGTGGAGCACATGTAAAGCACATTAAGTAGCATGTATGTTCAATCACAAGTGGCCATATTTCTATCTTATAAAACATGTATCCATTTAATAGAAAGCATGTTATTGGGCTGATTCCTTCCCCCCTCAGTTTGGTTTTGTTTCTTTGGTAAGTGCCATTTATAGTCTAACTAACTAAGAAGGCCCACAGTGTCTACAGTGGTCTCCTAAGAGAAAAATTCAGGCCAAATCCAGTTTATGATTATTCACAATAGAACTACCATTTACTACCCTGTAATCTACCAAAAAATATCTTCCCCTTTCTACTCTGTAATCAGCCTGGACCTTGTACTTGAAGGGGAGGGCAGGGCACAAAATGGTAGAGATTTCATGCCCTTTACTTAGTCTCTTATCTGAATTCACTAGAAAAAAAAACACAACACTAATTATTACTTAAGGTAGTGGTAGTTCTAGGTCATGGACACCCATCTACGAAGCGGCACATTGCAAGCCTCCATTCATTTCAGGTAAGTCATTAAAGATGCTTCCTTTAAATTCATCAGGGCTCATCTAGTCGCACTGTGAAATCTCTCTCATATCAATGCTCTTCTTTTTATTCTCTCTCCAGGACATCAAAACTTCATGGCTGGATGACCAAGATCAGCCACCCAGCTAAGTTCTCAGAAGTTATCTCCCAGCAATTTATCCCCCCAGGCTATAGCCCACAAGCTGCCAGATTAATCTTCTCTCCACTGTTCGACCACCTTCAAGGGCACTGTATTGTAGACAGCAATTGTGGCCCAACCTTAGAGTAAGAGGATCCATGGATCTACGTGTTATTACTATTAGCACCCACTGATTTTTTTTTAATTTTGGCGAGGCAATGGGGTTAAGAGACTTGCCCAAGGTCACACAGCTAGTAAGTGTTATGTGTCTGAGGCTGGGTTTGAACTCAGGTCTTCCTGACTCCAGGGCCGGTGCTCTATCCACTGCGCCACCTAGCTGCCCCAGCACCCACTGATTAAGAATATACACAGTGAAGTAACATTAGTGATTCGTGCACACAGATGGGGATCTGATAATTAATAGCTTCCCAGTGTTCTGCAGCCTATTCAGGCTGGGAACCACTGGCCTAAAGAGTAAGGTCCAAGTTTTCCATTGTCTTTCAAGACTCTCTGTAATTTATCCTTACCCATCTAGTCAACCTTCTCTCCTACTATTCCCCAACTTGAACCCTTTGGAAAGGTCATAAGGTCTTATTGTCCTGCAAACACTTCATGTCCATGCCTCTGACCATTTTGTTTCAATTTCCTAGCATTCTCTCTCTCCTTCCTCTTTTCCATCTCAAACCTGCTTGTCCCTTACTATTCAGCTCAAATGCCACCTTCAGGAAGTCCTCTCAAACTTTCTCAGTCTATTCCTCATTGATGTCTACTTTCTCTGAAGTCTGACAAGAATCACCATCTGTAACACTCACATTTGCATCTAATCCTCCCCTGTATGATTTAATCAATTAACATATGGCTTACCCCTTAAGTGAGATGTTAAATTCCTTGAGAGAACAGAGACTATAGACCTCTACTTTCATACCCTCTTCCCTTCCCTTCTCCCTCTCTCATTCTAGCATTCTGTTAGCCTATAATAGGTTGAACTGAATTACTGTCATTACTGAATCAGTGTTTAAGAGACACAAAGGCCCTCCATAGTCCTAAGAACTTCAGAGAGGTGCTAGTTTTATTGAATTGCTATCCTAAGTAGTAATGACTGTTTCTGTTGTATACATCAGAGCATCCCTAAGATGGGAGGAGGATTTCTAATATGCAATTTCATCATAAAATCCCACGTGAAATTTGATAGAACACACCCTTCTTTAAAATGCCTCTCTCTCAAGCCAAACTGTAAGCAATAATTAGTGAATTGCCTTGATGTTAGAATATTCTTATATAAAAGTCTTTAAAACCAAAGCTTGGAATTGTCTTTTCTACAGTTTAGAAACATTTTCTATCCTTTAAGAGACCCCTTTTGACCCACATCTATTTGATGATATTTAGACTTTTTAAAAAATCAAACACTACAATAGGATTTTGCCTCCTTGATTTTACTTAGACTGGTGTGATGTAGGGAAAACAACATCTAATCCTAAAATATATTGAATATGCAAAGTGTCTGTAATTAAAAGACTGCAACCCATCTATGATTTAGTACTAGGGGTTGCACAGAGCACACAGAGGATAAGTGACTTGCACAGGGTCACAAGGTTGAGGTGTTAGAATTTGATTCCAGATCTTCATGATGCCAGGCCTATTTAGTCACAGGGACTCTATCATCCTAACATACATGTCAAACGTATCCATAGCTGAACTCATTGGCCCTAGACCACAATCTAGCCAGAGAATTAGAATCGTAACAAAAATAACAGAATCAATGAGCAAGCCTCTTTGACAATTTCTTGGGATCAGAGAGGGTGAAAATCAGCTCTTAGAAAGCACCTAACAACAACAAAAAAAAGAAAAAAAAAAGAAAGCACCTAAGTTTCTTTAGCTTTCACTTTGTGCTGTCTACCTTTGCTCTTTAAAGTGGCCGTGGAGTAAAGACCACTTAGCAGATCCACTTGGACAAAGATGAAAAGAAACCAATATCAATAGAGAAGATAAGTAGGAAGAAAGCAACGTGGTAGGTAGGTAAGTAGAATGAAAAAAAATAGGAAGAAAACAATGTAGATAAAAAATTTTTAAAAACAGGTAGGAAGAAAACAGCAAAGATAAAACTTTTAAAAAGATAGGTAGGAAGAAAATAAAATAGAAGAATTGTAGGAAAAAAGAAAAAAGGAAGAGAGAAAGAAACGGTAGAGAAAAAAATAAAAGAAAAAATAGCAAAAAAAAAGGATAAATAAAAAGAAAAAAAGACAAGTAGAAAGAAAACTTTTTTCCCTATGGGAGCTGTCGCTGTCTTTAGGTGACTGGTTTTTAGTACCGCAAACGAAGGACTGCACGAGCGGAAACTCACCTCAGCTTCTGTCCAGCTGGCACAGCTATCCTGTTAAACCTCTCCATTTTTCTTTTTCTTTTCCCAATCACCAGGTAGACCAAAAACCCTCCAGAAGCAACATCAGTCGGTTTTGACACTAGCAGAAAGCATGGCGGAGAGCCCCTGGTTCAAGGAGCAGAGGATGAGCTGCAGAGTCTAGCCCGGGAGCGCTCCGCTCCTGCTCTAGGAGAAGTAAAACTCGCAGGAGCACGCAGGCAAGTTTCATGTCTCTACACAGTCATGTGATCTCATCAGCCTTGCCCACTCACTTGGCATTGTGTAAACTTTAATTCTGAAACTGATTGGGCATGCAAATTTTCCTCCAGCTGCCCTCCCTCCTTCTCTCCTTCTCTCTCTCATACACACAGAGATTTGTAACCAGAACTGGGATCTATCTGTCTCGACTCGCTGGCCATTACTTCCGGGCATTGACGCTTTGCTGCGGGAAATTTTGGAGGAGAAATCGGGAGGGGCTGTTCTGGTGGAATGACAGAAAGATCTTGAGCAGGAGAGGACGTCTGGTCCAGCTCCCTCCCTTTTACAGTGAGGACACTGGGGCTCAGTAAAATCAAATGATGCCCCAGCTCGCAAAGGTACTAAGTAGCTTTGCTGGAATTGTGCTAGTTTTTTTTGTTTTAAGCCCATCTAAATAAACCAACTCCCCCTTTATATATAGATGGTCTATTTGCACTAACCTAGTTTTTCCCCAATGCCAAAAAACAAACAAACAAACAAAACTTCTTAAAAAAAAAAGATAGCAGGCATAGGACGAGTTAATATAAGGAGCTTATTGAGCAAATGCCCGAGAGTTTTTTGAATTGAATTACCCTCCCGGTGTTCAAGATAACTTAGGGGTTTTCCTCCTGGCCTGCATGCAATGAGATGACTGCAGTGATATGATTGTGTTTTCCTTGTATCTGGATAGAAGTAGGTTGAGCTACCAACTGCTAGCTGTATGTTTCAAAGACAAAATTCGACCAAATGCCCCCAAAGAAAACATTGAGCTCCCCTAAGCAAAAGGATTTTTATCTAAGGACATTTTTTATGTCTCTATGCAAGGATGGGCACCTGTTCACCAGAATTGAATGGATGGCACTTTTCCAATCTACCTGACCCTAAGCACCTGGGCAAAGACAATAGTCAGGGCTCACTTCTGCCTACATTTGACTTTAGTTTCTACCACCTGTGCCAATTGCCCCACTGAGGGCTCGGTTGAAAAGAGAGAGGAAGGATTGGGGTGATGCTAACTTCCTTCCCTGGAAACAGAAATGAGGAACCTCATATAGCAGGATCCTGGTAGGATTGAACTATTCCCCCTGGCTCTGAACCAGAGGTGGAAGAGGATGGGAGTATAGGGGGTGAGGGCCTGAGAATTCTACTTTATTTTACTCCTTCTGAAGGAGTGAAAAAGTCATTTGGATCCCTACCCCCAACTTCTTCCCAGGAGTGGGAGGATGGCTTGGTTTCAAAAAATCATGGGGAGAAGAAAGGGGGAACAACCCTCCTTTTTCCATGTGGGGGCATTTCACCTTCGGCCCCGAGGTCATAGAGTAAGAGCTGGATGAAACCCTAGAGGCCCTCACGTCTAGCCCCCTCATTTTACAGATGAGGAAATCTTTTACTAATTTTTTTCTCCATATCCGTTTTGCATACATTCAACTAAGAACATCTTACACTTACTATTAAGAAAAAGGGCTCTCCTCTTCTAGTGATGAAGGTGCTTTTTCATTATTCATTTTTTCCCCTAGGGACCTGTTCCTGAAATTGAAGGGTGGATAAGGGAGGAATTGAATTGAATCACAGAGAGAAGGGTGAGTGGAAAGCTTCTCTCTTAAGAGAGTTGCTAATTCTCTTCAATGAAACTTGGAAGCTGGAGCTGCCTCGCTTAGTCACATCCCAACTCTGCCTCATTTCTTGTTCAACCAGAAGTTCAGGAGCACAGTGGCATTTCTTAGGGGTGGATCCCCGGTTTCCTACCTAGGTTACCAGCAATAGAGAGGATTGGCAAATCAAAGTTGCTAAGCTAACCATCTCTGAATATAGCCTTGCCTCCTGTTCCACTCTCCTCCAATTAAGAAAAAAAAAGATTGCTTTTACATGGTTTTGAGGGAATACTAAGTCCTGAAACTGTTTGTTTCAGAAAATTCGTCAAGATGCTCTTTCAATGAAAAAACAAAAACGGAAAAATATTAAAGAAAAGTAGATAAGTTCTTTTAGGCAAGGACTTTTTGCCAATAACTGGAGCCTCTGTTTCCTCATCTGTGAAATTCAGGGACAGGCTTAGAAATATCTCCAACACCTAGAACGGAGTGCTTGCTGGACACTTAGAAGGTACTTAGGTGCTCATTGAATTAAATTGTTGACAAGAGGCATTATTAATTATGCCTACCAGACTGGCTTTTGTATTGCATAATTTTCTGGACAGCTTCTCCTCCCTCCTCTCTTTCTTTTTGATTCTTCGTTTTGAAATATGACTCTGTGGTGGGCAAGGGGGGGGTTGTATTGGAAATGAAGTTTCATAAAAATAAAATATATCAATACACATTATTTTTAAAGAAATAAGAGGTAAGAAAGACCTTGCCGGTCTGAGCCTCAATGCTAGATCTGTCCTAGATTTAGAGAGGCAGAAAGCTGAATTTCAACTGAATCACTTTGAGAGTCAGACAGCCTACTTAAACCAACTCCCCTGCGGAGCACCTGTAGAAGCAGCCTTTATTTCCCCAGAGAATGAAACCTGATGCTGAAGATCACACTTCTGCTTTTTATTTTTTGCCATCATTTGTCTTTCTTATTTTTACTGTCATGTGTCCTGCTTGATGAAAATGAAAGTCTGAGTTTTCAAATCTCCAGTTAAGCATGGAATGGACCGCGTTAGAACATGAAGGAGCATCACAGTGGACTATTGTCCATTGCAGCCATCTTTGATGATCAATTAGCAAATCATGAAAATGAAAATCAAAGACACCAAGAAATACACTTGGCAATCACAAGGTAGTAGATGCAGTATATACAGGTAATCAGCTCATGTTTCCATATGAACAGGGAAGGAGGCACATAATTCAATATTCATCGAGAATCTTGTATATACGCAAAGCACTGTGCTAGACCTCCCCTGAAGATATGAAGTAACACTTTATCCCTGCCCTTAAGGAACTTTTTAATCTAAGAAATGAACTTTGAGGCTATGTTTTCATAATCTTCATAGACTATGAGTAGGAAATGTGTAATTGAGTGAATTGGGTCAATGGAATTAAACTATAATTTTGGCATCAAAGATGGGTTGGCCACATTTGTGGCAATGTAAAAATGAGCTTTGATTGGCCATATGGATTAATAATTATTTTATTTTTTAAAGTTTTTATTTACTTTAATTTATGAAATCAAACAAGTATTTCCATAACATAGTATCATTTAAAAAGGTGATTGCACATGAAACTGCAAATCTAGTATGTGCAATTTGCTTATTCCTTTTAAACATGTGATAAAGTTATCATGTAAATTTTTTTCTTTTTTTTCTCTCTCCACCCTAGTGATGGCTACCATTAGATACAAATTAGGCATGTATGTGTGTGTATACATATATATATATATGTAGGTACATATATACATATACAAATTCAGCACTTTATGGGCTACTAAATGTTTTAAATATTAATTTTTCAAATAGAAAAATATCAGTTATATTAATATAGAAGCAAATGAACATATATTAACTTATAGTAATCCTCTCAATTAGAGGTGGTTAGTATTAGTATTATCATTCAGATTTTATATAGCAGAGGAAACTGAAGGTCAGTGATGAAGGGTCTTGTCCCGGGTCACATAGCTATTAAGTAGAACAGACAAGACTAGAACCACGTTCAGGGCTTTTTCCATGGTGCCGTGCTGTTGTTGGGTTTCTTGAAATGAGTAAGAGATCCAGAGAGAGCTGAAATGAGGCCAGTTTGCATCTGAATATGCTTCTCAGGCCCTGTCTGTCTGCACTGCTGAGCTACTCCTCACATAAAAATAAACCAGGCCTGGAGGAAAAGGGCCCAAACCAGACTCACATCCCAGTCCTGCCACCAACTTGCTATTATGCAATTCACCAAGTACTTGGAGCCTCTGATTCCTCATCTGTGACATGAGGGGGCAGGGTGAGATGAGCTCTCAGTCCCCTGACCGTTCTAGCATCCTGTGGCTGTGTTTGGTGACCCAGTTCCAGCTGTGTAGACAGTTTCACGGCCAAACAAGAGCACACGTTTTCAGAATCGGGGCCGCTGCCTTCATGGAGGTGGGGCAAAGCTCCCAGAAAGACAATCTCTCTTACTCTCTTTTATCCTTCTACTCCCCTTATGCCAAGAGTCTCAGAGCCTCACTTCAACACTATCCTATAGAGCCAGGGTCCAGCTAGTTTGGGCTGAGGCAGGAGAGCATGTCATCTGGAGCTCCTGCTTGGAAGGTCAGCAAAAGCATGACCAGGGACAGCTTTGGGGAAAATGAGGAAGTAGGCAACATTTGTCTCCAGGGTTCTCCCTGCCCTTTGCCTTACTCCACCCCTCCTATCCTCTCATTCAAACTTTACTACAGTCTTTTTATGGAAAAGTTCATGTAAAAAAGGTTTTTTGTTCTACTTTTCAGGATGTACTTTTGATTAATTGGGAGCATTTAGTATAATACCCAAATTATATTCTCCTCTTGCCTCCCTCCTTCCCTGTTTATTTTCTCTGCTTGCCTCTCCTTCCTCTGCTCCTTTACTTCATTCTCTAGTCCTCCTTCCTTGCTGGCTCCCCTTCTCCCTCTCTTTATCCCTCCCTTTTTCTTTTATCTTCTGAGGAGGAACCTCTCACAAGGCATTTTGGCTATAGCATCCAGGATGATAGCTCTTGGTGCTGGCTGCTGGAAAGAGGTGTATACAGATCAAAGCGTTGTCTGGAAGGAGAGAAGCGGCAGCAAGAGGAAGTGGGGGAGTTTGGTAGGATAACAGAAAAAGGGGGAGGGAGAAGGAAGTGGAGTAGACAGCAAGCATTTTCTTTTTTTTAGGCAATTCAGGTTAAGTGACTTGCCCGGAGTCACACAGCTAGTAAGTGTTAAGTGTTTTGGTCTGAGGTCAGATTTGAACTCAGGTCCTCCTGACTTCAGGGCTGGTGCTCTATCCACTGCGCCACCTGGCTGCCCCGAGAGCAAGCATTTTCACTCTCCTGTTTTAAAAGGTACAATTAAAAATAATCAA